TAGCTGATGTAAGTGCTTGGCATATTCTGGGCCTGCAAATTTCACTAATTCTGCCGTGATGAGATTCATTCCTGGAGCTTTATTATTTTTCAATTTTTTGATAGCTTGTTCTACTTCTTTTATGGTTGGCGCTGGCTCTTCAGCTTCAAAATTTCCTTGATTCCGGTCTATGGCCATACCTTCCACTTGTTCAGAGGCGTTACTATTTAATAATTCCTCAAAATATTGCACCCATCTTTCCAGTATTGCTTCATCGCTACTCAATATTGTGTCTTCTTTATCTCTACATAAGGTTGTTCTAGGTTGAAAGTCCTTTTGACTCTTGTTTAGTTTTTGATAAAATGCTCTAATTTCGTTTGAACTTCTTAAACGCTCCAGTTCAATCAGTTCTTGTTTATCACATTCCCTTTCTTCTTTTTATGCAATCTTTTTTCTTTTCTTCTTGCTTCATTGTATTCTTCCACGACCCCTCGAGTATGGTTCCTTTGCTGCATTCTCTTATATGCCTGTTTTTTTTTCATTTGTCACTTGCTCACACTCTCCATCAAACCAATTCTTATACTTTATCCTTTCCATTCTTCCTAAGACTGCACCAGCAGCATTTATAATAACATCTCTGAGGCCCCTCCAAGCTTCACTGACATCCTCACTATCAGAGAGACCTGCCAGGCATTCACCAATTAATCCAGTATATCTGGTTGCAACTCCTTGTTCCACCAATTTTCCACAATTCAATTTCTTAGCCTGGGATCCATGTATCTTCCTTGCATTAGATATTCGACTTCTAATCTTGATATTATTAAGTAATGATCAGAGTCACTGTTGGCTCACCTGTAGCTCCTGACATCCATCAAATCTGAACAATGTCTTACATCTATTAGGATGTGATCAATTTGATTAAACACATTTCCATCAAGGGATTTCCAGGTTCGTTTATGTATATCCTTATGATTAAACATTGTACTACCTATTACCATGTTTCTTGAGGACACAACATTTATTAATCTCATCCCATTATCATTTGACTTGTTATGTAGGCTATGTTTTCCAATAACCGGTCTATATACTGTACATCCTCATTCCCCACTTTAGCATTCATGTCGCCTATGATTATTTTACAATCCCTTTTTGGACATTCGCCACATATTTCATCCAATTCATCATAAAAGGAGTCTTTCTCCTCATCACTTTTATCTTCAGTTGGCGCATGTGCACAAATAAGGCTATAGTTAAAAAACTTTCCCTTAATTTGTAGCCTACATGTTCTGTGAGATTTTGTCTGGAAGTCTAAAATAAGATGCTTCCTTTTTTTATTAACAATAAAACCTGTTCCAAACACGCGACTCTTCTTCTGACAGCTATAGAATACAACATGATCCCTCTTTTCCATGACTCCTTTACCAAACCACCTCAGTTCTTGTATAGCAGTGATATCTAGTTTATAGCTATCTAGTTGTTCAAGTAGCATTTTTAGTGCTCCGGCTCTGTAAAGAGATAGTACATTCCAAGATCCAAATCGCAAATCCTTTAAACATTTTCCAGGTTGTCTTGAATAGGTCCATCCAGCTACTCTTTCCTCGGATTTCTGAATAATTTACTTTTTACAATGTGAGGTCGTTAGCCTCACACCCAACCCCCAACCTGAAGGACCAGGGTATTCCTCTCTGTCTGGCTCCTACCCCTTGACCTGTCCAGCATGGGTGGCCCTACCAGTAGCTATGCTACCGCTGGCATAGCTCTCAGGGTCTCAGGAGCTCTCAAACCCCACCACCAAGATAAGGTGGAGATACCATTGATGGGGATTCAGCAGTCCCTCCAGGTAAATAATGAGAGTCCCTTACAGTGGGATAGGGATAGTGTAGTCAGTACAGCGACTGGCTATGGGCTGGATGACTGAGGGGTTGGAGTTCCAAGCCCCAGTAGAGTCAAGAATTTTCACTTTTCCAATCGTCCAGACCGGCTCTGGGGTTCAGCCAACCTCATATACAATGGGTACCGGGGGTAAAGCCGTTGGGGCGTGAAGCTCACCACTGGCTTCCAACTAGTGCCAAGGCGAAGAAAATATGCATCTATAAATTCACTCCCCCATACGTCTTCATGGCGTAGTGATTAATTAGTTAAGCACAGGGACAGCTTTACATTTTACCTTGCAGTGGGCCATCACCACATCTTTCCACGACCTTTCAATTCGTTATTCACTATCATCCAATGATTCGACCTTATACAGTGCGTACAATCAAGTGCGCGCCGCGGCTGCAATTTGCCGTGAGGAGTTGCAACTCCTCCCCGCGACTGCATCCGTTCTGCGGTGGTATGACTCACGGCAAATTGCAGCCGCGGCGCGCACTTGATTGTACGCACTGTATAAGTGCAGTTACTAACGGAATTTTTAAATAAAGTACTAATAAATACATACAAAATTTCCATACCACTGCTGCAAGAATTGTGCTCCAATCCGAGCGACGATAAGCACGATCAAGCCCATCAAGCACGATGGATCGGCTAAACGGGCTTCCGGAAGGGGGGGGGGAGGGGATGGCTGACGAAGAGAGTGGTGGACAGCGAACCGTGTCCGTGGATGGTTGTGGCCGTTGTAGAAGTTAGTGGTTGTAATTGCACATGCTCGTATATTACCATCGTTTAAAGTACTGAAGTTAAAGCTATGGGAAAGGGTAGAAAAGCTAGGAAAAAAGACAGAAGCTTTGCACAGAAGAGGCGAGCTAAAGAGGTTCGTTATTACGAGTTGAATGTTCAAAACAGTTGTATAAATGAAATGGAGGTTAGGGCAATCATTGAAGTTGAATATTGAGAGCAGCAAGCCTACTCATATTTGTATTCATTTAAGTAAATAAACCTTAAATACGCCATCTGGATGTAGTATTACTTGTATATTAAACTATGAAAGGTGGCACATCTAACTACATTTATTTTGCGCGTTATTGTGTTTCAGAACAAATGGGACGAGAAAGCGCCAAGGCAGTCTTATGAGGAAATAGTACGAGAAAATGCAGAGTTTGAAAATTATTATAAGGTAAAATATTTGAATTCATATGCACTCCTGTGGATGTTATATCCAAGATGAATAAATACGCAAACTATTTTACAGTGCTGGTAAGGCTTCACAAAAATTCTTAATTCTTCACAGTTTCTGTGTTCAGTGATCTTAACAATTTAAAATAGAATTTGCATTAGGATGTTTATCTACATCATTATCTGAATGGATCCATAGGATTCTAATTGATCACTGTTAACTTTGTAACATGTTTTAAAATCCAGCTGCAACAAATCTGCCCTGATGAAGAATGGGAAAATTTTATGGCAACAATTAAAGAAACTTTACCAACAGCATTTCGTATAACTGGATCAAAATCAGAAGCAAGAGCTCTGCTGGGAATTGTGAAAGGGAAATTCTTCAAGGATTGTCTCTTAAACCCATCACAGCCAGATGAGAATAGCCAGAAAATAGACAAGGAAATAGAACAGAAGAAACCAATTTGCTTACCATGGTAAGTTATTTTTAATATTTTGATGCCTGAAATTCAACTAAATAATATACAAAACCTAAGTTTCTACCTAACATAACACACTGTACACTCATTACAAATACTAAAGAATTAATGATGTTTTGTAGAGATAAATGCAGTTTATTCTGATAATACATGAAACATAAATACGCTCTGTGAGAAAGATGTTGAGTTTTTAAATGTTAAAGTAGCTTGTACATACATTACTGTGCTTTAAAGCATCATTTTCCACAGTGGGAATATGCCCCCTCTCCCCATGGGGCTGACGCTTTTCCACGGGCCACCAGAACATTTTCTGACAAAGATGCTGACTTAATTTTAATCCTGAAAGACTATAAATAGTGGTAATGCTCCATCCTTGTATTCAGGATGTGGTCAGTTCAAATCTTGACCAGGAGATGGCTGTTTGGACTGAGGTTTCTGTGATATGCTTCATCCCCTTCAAGTAAATGTGACCATGGTCATTTCCTTCCAGACCCCCTCCAGTGCATGAATTGTCCTACCATCTGATGCTATATGGTATAGATATTGACAGCATCATAAAATAAATCACACGAATATACTTTATAGATATCATTAAGGCTCATTGCCATGCAGTCTTGTATGAATGTATAAGGGGTGGGCCTTCTTGGCCCTTGCACCATGACCACAGTGATCTCTTGTGCCTGAAATGCAGTCTTAAGGCATGAAATGTCTTCGCATGCTCAATTCCTGGGATCATGTGTTTGAATCCCACTCAAGGCATGGATGTCTCACTGAGTTTATTCCCTGTTCGTGTTGTTCTGTGTGTAGGTATCGGCCTCGTGTCGGGCTGATCTCCTGTCCAAGGAGTCCTACCGACTGTCTTAAGATTAAGAAACTAAAGTGAAATGAAGTGTTTTGTGGATGCCCTTTGCTCCAAAGTTGGAGCAACAGGAATAGATGAATATAGAAGGTTCATTAATAATTACTTTTTGAAAATTTTAAATTGCATTTCAAGCCCATATTATAGGCTGAGGGTCCAGAAACATTTTTATTCACATTATTAGAGCCTTAGCCTAACCTACTTTGGGAACAACCGTTTCAACAGTTGAAAATCTTTCATATCGTTTTTATCCATAGGCTTATATAATAATGCAGATTATGTGAAATTGTAAGTTACTTTGTTATACATGAAATGTTGCAGTGACCATTCTCCATCGAACACCAATGCTCCCTCCTTAAGTATTCTCGTTCTGAGGCATAGCTCTGCTTTGNTATATACTAAAACTTGTTAAGATTATTTATCTTATCTGTCCCAATTCTAACACCACGTATAGTTTCACCACTATGGGAGTCGTTCCTCTTATTCTCAGGGTATATCGTGTCTCGTGTTGTGTGTTCCCTGTTTGGTTGCGGGTGTTGTAATCAACATTAAAACAACATTAAAACACAGGAACTATAACAGTCACACTCCAGATATCACTGCACTACAGCACACATAAATGTATCAATTCACACATTAAATCTTCTGCGAACTTCCTGTGGCTATCTTCCAACGAGAACTCAGAACTCTTTCACTGTCACCGTCACCATCACCGCCACTGCCACTGTCAAATCAATATGAAGACTTGTCTTCAGTCACTTTGTGCTCCTCTGTCCTCATCTGTATTCAGCTGATCTTCACAGTTCTCTAAGGACATTCTCCATTCTTGTCTGTGTTTAGCTCTAGTACTTAGAGGTGACAGTCCTCTGACACAGAGTAAGAGAAGTATTGATAGTGGTGGGGAGAGCTCCAGCATGCCGACAAGTGTGACAGGGAATGCAGTACAGGCGTTCTCAAAAGGAAATAACTTCTTACCTCATTGTGTTGCATAGTGATGGTGGTTTATTCTCGTTGATGTTCACACATCTGATGTTAAGTTTTAAGTGCCGAATGGCAGACTAGTATGCACTATACACTATTATATCCATTTTTTGACTACGTAGAAATCATTAATTGTTCTTCGCACCACAGACTCGTTAAAGTTGTCTAAAGTGGCTAGTGAAGATTTCCTAGGTCTTTCTTTATGGGGTGTCGAAAAGGAAGTGGAAGCCCCAGATTCGATATTTTTTGTTTCTCATATTCTTCTGACACTACTTTCCAATACACCTGTTGCCTTTGCTACTTCCACTCCTATGTTCTTCACTGTAATTGTTGGCCCAGCCTCTTTCATATACTTATATACGTTACTAACAATTTTTCTTGATTGTGAATTCAACACTTTTCCACTCAATTTACTTCATGTAGGTGGCATGTTAAAGGAGATAGAAAAAAGTACAAATATAAACAAACAAAATAGAAAATCAACGAATAATAATAAACAATAAAATAAAATATTGTCATGTGTCACCACTTGACTTCTGGCCCAATACTTCAGTGTGACGTCTCAACTATCTTTGGCCGTGGTTGGATCTCAGCTGTCTTCGGCGACATCTATCCCGATACTGACTTCTTGCTGTCTTCTGTCTCTGTAGCTCTCGGCTTATGTAGATGTTCTGCGGACTGGATACCAGACACCATTCCTCACTGTTTCATTTCTACTGTCCGCTGTTATGTAACAGGCACAATGAACTCTCTGTAGTTCATTTCTGGGTAGACATGTTCGTTGCTTCTGCATTGTCTACGCAACGGCTCCCTGTTCTTTGCGTTACCATGGAAGTGCCTATTCCAAACTCACGTGTTCAGCAATCCGTTGCCTCAGGAATGCTCCTTCGCAACGGTCTGTTTGAATTCGATTGGTTGCTGTTGGAACTCACCAGTTTCCATTGTAGCCGTTGCGCGGTGATGGACATAAGGTAATGCATCACAATATTAATACAGTAATACTTTCTGTGTTAGCTTCGCCTTGTCTGATGTTGCGAACATTCTCATTATCATGAGTTTATGTGACTTCTGCTTGTTGCCTGCATAATTTTGTTATATAATCATATACATATGGGATTTTGAATGCCATGTGCAAATCGCGGACTGGTGTACGCCTTGGAAAATTGCCAGTGATGTGGAGAACCTTGTTTTGCAGGCCCTGCAATTTCACTAGATGAGTGGCTGCTGCGAATTCCCAGGCGTAGTTAGTTAGTTACTTACTGGAGAGGGTGGGTTTCCCCATGCACTTAGACCAGTATTGGTCCATTGTGCTTCCCTCTATGATATTCTACCAGTCTCTATACCCTACCCATATTGGTGCGTACTGTCAGTCCCGACCGAGCCAGTGAGTTCGGCCTCTACTGTCTTGGCCGTATCTATAATGCTTGCCCCATCTATCAGAGGCGTTAGAGACTACTGTTGGGCGGGAAATGTCCTTGAATTTGGCTCAGTGACCTCCTTTGGAGATATGAGGTTCTTTTACGTGCCGTAAAGCTACGACATGGGACCCACGGCTTAAAGTCCCTCCCGGAGGACTTGTTCCCTGAATTTTTCCGCCCTTAAAAATTCCACGACTTCCACCGGGTTTGAACCCGCGTACCACAAGTCATGAGGTGGGAACATTACCTCTAGACTACGGAGGCCGCTATCCCGGGCATAAGTCATTACGGATCTAGTAAGAGCTTTGTGGAGGGTCGTTTTAATGTTAACGCTCAATCGCTCACTTTTGAATAGGGAATATACTCTAATGAATGTTCTGAAGGCCTTGGCTTCAATCATTTCTATGTGCAATCTCCATGTAACTCTCTTATCAAGGAATACACGTAGATATTTTGCATTATTTACAAATGGAATATTTTGTCCATTTAGAGTGAGACAAGACTCAGGCGGTCGACGACCACGAGAGAAGTAGACCCCACTGAGTCTTATCTTCATTAATTTTAATATTCCAACGCTCACACCAGGTTTCCATTGAGCTGAGACTGTGCTGGAGTTTTCTAACAATAAAACCCTCCTTGTGATCTGTCGCATACAGACAGGTGTCATCCACAAAGAGGGCCAAGTGAACACCATGTGTTTGGGGGGCATCATTTATGTACAAATTGAAAAGAGTAGGGGAAAGAACTGAACCTTGTGGCACCCCTGCTTGCATTTCCCTTGGGGTTGTCATTTCACCTTCAACCGAAACCCTGAATTTACATTGAGAAAGAAAGGAGCCAATAAGCTTGGTCAAACTGTTTGAGAATTCCAATTTTGATAACTTATACAGCAAGCCTGAGTGCCACGTGGTATCAAAGACTTTTTCGATGTCCAAGAACACCCCAGCTGTAGACATTTTATTGTTGAAATTAAAGGTTATGTGGTCCGCCAGCCTCATACCTTATAATATCATGCTGTGACGTGCACAAAAACCAAACTGGCTTGTGTTGAGCAGGCCTCTTTCTTCAATATGTTTTTGTAGTAATTTCAAAATTACTTTTTCGAATAGTTTTCCTGTCGTGGACAGGAGGCTGATCAGACATAAATTCTGTGGGAATTTTGGGTCTTTACCAGGTTTTGGTAAAGTTATTAATTTTTCTTCCTTCCAAGTATTTGGAAAATGAGAGAGCCGAAGACAGTGATTAAATAAATGAGTTAGGTGAACCAGTGATCGCCTTGGAAGTTGCCTGAGGCATTCATTTGGGATGCCATCAATTCCACAGGCTTTTCTTAATTTCAAGGAGTTTATCAATTTTTGTATGTCACATGGTCTGATTCTTTGAGGGGGTTTGTCATCTATGGTTTCGAGCAGAGCTTGAACTCTTGCCTCCACCTGCCATTCATGGTTATCGTTGCACAGATCGTGCAGCGTGAACTGAATTTCCAAACAATCAGCAGTTGTGTTGGCGTTTTTGAATGGGTGAAATTTAAGGCCAGAAGAACCATGAATAGCAGTTGGTGCCCTTGGTCCATCCCTCTTTAGGAGGGATTTCGCAATTGTCCATATACCATGAGGTGTGACTTCAGTGTTACCTATTTTTGTTTCCCACCGTTCAAGTGCCTTTTTTGGGTCATTCAACTGATTGATTTTGTGACTCAATTTAGTGCCGTCTTGCATGCTGGATCCCTGGTTTCTTGC